CTCAGGGCCAATTACCATTGTGGATGCCCAGACATTTTTAATACCCAACTTTTACTACGATGGCCAGGGACCAGCTGGTTACTGGTGGGTGACCAAGGGTGCCAGACAGGGACCTACAGGTATTTATTTATGAATTAAAATTGTCAATATTTTTAAAAATACATAATAGACCTTTTAGAAAAATATTATTAATTTTATTTGGATAGATAGATAGATACAATTTTTGTGATATTTTTAGTGTAATATTTTAAAAATTACTAAAATGGTATTAATTTTTAGTACGAAGGTGAATTTTGAAAAACTAAGCAATTTTTATGATAACATTTTATTGATACATTGTAATAGCATTATTTTTAAATTGATGTAGGTTACTGGCTATAGTTAATTACATATATATTTATTTATTAATAACATAATTGAAATATGGTCAAGGTAAAGTTCATCGAAGTCCATTCCTTTAATATAAATTATTTTATTAATAGGTTTGCGACTGAAGGACGAGAACGGAAGTCCGGCGCCGTTGCGTCGATACTCGGGTGAGACGGTTGTCATATCCCTTCCCGACGACAAGACTATCTACGACTACGACTGGCTGGGCGTTTGGTGCGAGGAATTCAACGTAGACTTCGGACACATCCGTATCCCTCAACACATACGAGTGCCGCCATCGCCCAAAATGCTGGGCATTAAGCCAGAGGTGAGTCCCAACGAGAGGGCCATTATAGGCCTCCCGCCGCCCGTACCGCCCGAACGCCGGGTTAAGCCTACGAGACGTCGTCGACCGCCGACTCCGAAACGGTTGGGCACTGCGGCGACGAGTAGTTACTGTTTTTGGCGCCGGTATTACACGACTATTCCGTGCAAAAAAGGACAGGACTAATAAATTATTGACACAAATGAGCTTGTTCATTTCGAAAGAATAAATAAATATGTTGATTGAATTTTTACTTTTGCGATCACATTTAATAATTAATTTGACTCTGGTTAAAAATTTAAAAAGTTTATATAACATTAACAAAACCAAATTTTAATTACAAAATTAAGTCAGCTACTTAAAAATATTTTAAATGAAATAATTACAGTTTATTTATATTTATTATTATTAAATACACTAGTACAGTATTAAGTTAATATAAATATTTCTAAATAATTTTTAAAAAAAAATTATTAACAAATATCGTGACTTAAATAAACATCTTGATAATTATTAAACATTATTGGTTGTGGTTTATATTATACACAAAGATTGTATTGAATGCACGTTAATCTAACACATTGTACTGACAACACACATATCATGGGATTTATTGCACAAAACGATAAGTGTTTATTTAAAAAATACCTGGACACTATTAAAACTTTAAAATTAATTCATTTTAATTAATTCATAGACAAAACTAAACTGTGAAGTACTTTACGACGAATTGGGTTACGAATTACGTTGGGTTATGGATGGCGACGATATTGTCATGCAATTGGTCGGCAAAGTCGGTGTGTACTCGATATTAGCAATTGATTTACATACGAATCAAATAGACCATACTCATTTTACTCATTTCACTTATACCTCGCTTATAAGACCCGAACGAATACATGTCATTCGGTTTAAGCAAAGATGACGCCAAGTCTGAGATGATAGGCACGGATGCCGTGGTTGCGTGGGTAGGACCGGGCGGTAATGGACGGGCTGTTGACTATTTTCTGGGCAGTAAAGAGCAGGTAATTATTCATTGTCTCCTAAATTATTAAATTTTATTTATGCTTATTAGTAATAAACGATTTTAAAAATTTATTTGAAATTAAAGCAAACTATAGTTTATAATAATATTTATTAATAATTATTTTCAAGTCATATAAAATATTTTGAACGGTGGCGAACGGAATCATTGTTGTATAATTTTCATATTCATTTAAATTTAAAACATTTTAATTTTTTAATATTTTTAAATATTACTTAACATGGTCAATGGTTAATTTTTACCTATGAAAGGGCTTAACCGGGTAACACCAGTAGTGACAAAACATTAACATTTTAACATTAATCTAAATACTCACTAATGTTAACAGTTTTTTGTCATTACTATTGTGTCCCGGTTTTAACACTTTGTTAATCATAAGCATTTATTATACAGTATAAATAAATTAGTAAATATTATACTGTATATTTATATAACATTATAAATAATTACAAATAATTATAAATAATTATAATTATTATTACTGTTATACACAGTGTGTTGGCAATCGTGGCTCGTGTCCCGACGTTAAGCAAAAGGGGGCCTCAGATAGCGTAACACTATTACACGCGGCTATAGTCAATGGATTCAGCATGGTCACTTTCAAACGACCACAGTTAGGACGTATGAATTTCTATTTAACATAAAAATCTATAATTTATTAATTTTCAAAAAAATCAATTTATATTTCAGTGGATGAACAGTACGATCAGCACATATACAGCGACGGCCCACAAGCTGTCATGTGGGCTATCGGTCCCCTTAATGAGCGTCAGGAGACATCCTATCATAGGCTACATAACCAGGGTGATATGTTCATAGACTTTGCACGTACACCCAAATGGAACTGCCCCCTACCGGATGAGACTATTAAGCAAATGGCACCGGGAGGTCAGGGTCTCAAGCCTACAGCCCGCCCTCAGCTACGACCCCAGGCTGTTGAGGCACCACAACCTCCACCACAACAACAGTCTCGACCACAACTACAGCCCCGACCGGCACAACCCCAACCCCCACCCCCTCGGCAACAGTCAGCCCCACAACAAGTCCAGTCCCAACCCAATCCCAATGCATGGCGAGTGCCGCCCATTGTATGTCCGGCCGATACGACCCTAAGGGCTCAGATTGGACCCACTGGTGGTACAAAGGGTTATCAGGCTATTACCGGTAAAGTGGGCTGGGGTATAGCCTGGTACATTAATGGGCTCCTAATACCGGAGTTGACGTTGCAGCGAGGTTAGTTAATTTTTATAAAATAAACATAAAACATTTAAGAGTACGGTAGCCAACTTAAAAACAATCAAATGGTTTAGTATAAAATCTTTTGTAATAATAAAAAAATACAGTTTCAAAGCGTGTGTTAAATTATTTAAATAATCTAATTATTTCACATTGCTTAATTTTATAAAGTAATAAAATTTAAGAAAATGAAATTTATCGTTAGTGGGTAGAAGTGTAGGCTCCCAAATAATTTCTATAATGTATTAATCATACAAATGAAATGACGATAAATATCTAATTTACAGTTTTTAAAGAATCCATAAGTTATAAATCAAAACATTATTACACTTAATGTAATACAATAATTAGCGTTTATTTTTTATATATCAATATGATAATTAACTTATTTAAACATAATAATCACCTTGTTCATAATGATCGCAGGAAAAACCTACACATTCATCGTGGAGGGGGGTAACGACAAAAACAACTCCGCCCGACGACACCCCCTATACCTGTCGGACGATCCGGACGGGGGTTTCGACTACAAGACGGACGCCCAGCGACAGAACGAACAGATCTTCGGTGGGGTCGGTATCACACCCGACGGGGTTATCCTACCGACTAGTGAGGGCCGGCTATGCGAATGGAAAGTGAATACTCAAAACCCCCGGCGCCCGGAGGACTACCAAAACTTTTTCGACTTTCAACGCAGTTTGAACCTGGAGTGTGCTCAGGGTAACTCAGGGGTACTCAGGTTTACCCCGGATAACCAGACTCCGGACCTCATATACTACCACTGCTATACGCACCGGAACCTGGGCTGGAAGATACATATAGTGGACAGTTGTGATCAGCACCAGCTGTTTGGACAGTCGTCTATACCAAAGCCCTCTGTTTTGAAACCCAATCCAAACGCAAAGTCCGGTCCGCACGATATACACGACAAACATACCGTTCCCCTTCATTTAGATAAAGGCGTAGAGAGTGGACATGTATTTTTCCCTGACCTGAAACGTACTGGTGCTAATACTACTAGTGCTAATAATCAAAAACATGATACATATAAGCCATCGGTTAGGCCGTTGATAGCCCTCCAGAAGCCTAACCACAAACATAGGCCCAACTCGTCGCCAAAGCCGGTGGTGCCGCAGATCCCGGCCCCGCAATACGTGCCGTTAAGTCTGCCACCACTGGGCGGACAGCCATATCACGGACCGCCGCCCTATCTCTTCTCATACCCGACTCCACAGCAATCGTACGGCGAGTTTCCCATCGGTTTGTCATTTATTTCTTATAAATTGAAAATTAATTAAAATTATTTGAATACAAAATGGATATAAAAATAAATGCCTTAATCTCTCGTCCCATAAATAATTTTATTTAAAAATTTATTAAATTTTAATTTGTGTTAGAAATAGATATACAGTTTTCATTTTTTTTTATAAAATCACTTTAAAAATTCTTAATATTGTTTATTTTATCATGCATATATTATTAAAATCTAAATTAGAAATTAATTAGAATTTAATAAAAATAACACCATTATAGAAAATTATTTAAGATATAATTATACAAAATTAATAAATTGTCAAGATATATTTTATAGATCTTAACAGTGATATTCCATAACAATTTTAATAATATTGTTTGCAATATAGATTACAAATAAAATATTAAAATTACAGTTCAAAATGACTAATTATAAAACATTCAATCATCACCTAGGTCCAATCAAAGCCTTCGATCAGGTATTCCGACCGCCACCACCTCCACCACCCGCACACATATCGCACCCACAGTACATACCCGTCCCCTTAGACACCGTCCCTCAACCTCAACACTCAGCGCCGTTAGTCTCGTCACCGGTAGATAATCTTCACACGGGATTCGTGCCAATGCTCATCAAAACCGCCAATCAGTCTATTGTCAAACACTTTGAGCTCAAAGCCCAACACCAGTCGCCACACAAACCCCAACCCCCGTCATCCCTGTCCACATCCCAGTCCACCTCCAGTTCCAACCCATTCTCCCAAAACAATTCCGTTCCCTTCGCGCCCACCTTTCGGGCCCCGAGTCCTGACTTCAGTGGCTTTAATATATCACATTATGGGGAACTGGCGCCCAGTAGTTCTAAAAAACACATTTCTTATACTGTAAAAAATGAGTCACACATGAAATAGCATTTTAGCCAATCATAGGCACTGAGGACTCATATAAAGAAATGATTAATAAATAGAAAATTTCAGAAAAGTATTAATAGTCTAATAACAATATTTGAGTCAAAACGAAATAAATTATAAATTAATAATAGAAAGTAATATTAATACTCAAACATACGACATATATAATTTACATTTAATTGACAGTTTATAGTTTTATTTTAAGCAAACTTATTTACAATAACTGTTGTAAATTACAACTTGTAATAATATTATTTTAATTTGCTAGTATGTCAATAATATAAATATTAAGTATTATCTAAAGTAATTTGATACATTTTTAATAATTATTACAGATTTTGTTAAAATAAGATTCTCTGAGTTACAATAACCAATATTAAATAAATAATTAAATGTCCTAATAATTTAATACTAATTTTTAAAAGTGACAGTTTATTAAACACTTTCAATATATTAAATTCAATGATATATTAGTTATATTAGAAAATTAAATTAAGGAGGTTATAAATTTACAGTGAAAGCCTTATCGTTATCCCATAAAAAGTATATTAATAATTAGTTATATTCTTTGAAATTTAAATGATTATTTACAGTTTTGAATTAAGATTTAATCTATTTAATTTAAATTTATTAACACATTTTGTTTATAAGAAATTAATTTAACAAATCATTGAGTTATTTATTTTTATTATTTTATATTATATCAATTATGTATGCAAATTAAGAATAATAATTATTATTTATATTCACTCTCGCTTAAATATACTATTTAATTGTTATAGTTTGAGTTTTAATTGGTATATTTAAATGATCAACGTTCAATAATGCTCCCAAATAATTATATAGTTATCAATTAATTTCCATTATGATAAATTTATCCACAATTGATCATCTACGTGCATAAAAATGGTTATCTATTTTTCATTTTAAACTGTATACATAACATAATCATTGCATTTATAGTATCTAATATTGTTTATTACTTTGAGAAATGCAATTATGTTATGTATACAGTTTGCATTGAAAAATAGATAACCCTATTAAGCACCCAGTGGATCAATTGTTTGTAATAACAAAGTTTCAAATTAGAAATATTGCAATTTAACTTAAATTCCATTATTTTAAAATTGACCCAGCAATTTAATATTTGGTAACGTTTTATATTACGTTAATGCACAAACTACAGTATTATCATGCAAATTTTAATATAATTTATGTACCAGTACATACTTCATGAGTGACAGAGATCTGATATGCTTTAACTATTGTTTCAAATCATGTTTAAATTTAACCAAGTACACTAATAAATCATTGCATATATTTGAAAAAAATTAGAAAACTGTAAATCTATGTGTGACATTATACGAAATAAATTGAGTTTAAAAATAATAATTTTAGGTGATATTTGGAGCCACATGAATTATTTATTTATTTTAATATCTATTTGTATTCAAATAGTTTTAATTAATTTCAAATCCAAGCTATAAATGACAAACCGATGGATAACTCGCCGTACGATTGCTGTCGAGTCGGGTATGAGAAGAGATAAGACGGCGGTCCGTGATATGGGAGTTTCCTACTTTACCCCATGGGATAACCCCATCATTACCGCCCATTCGTGAAAATTACAGGGATACTTTAACTTTACCCCACCTACCTCATCTACTTACCCCACCTACCCTATCTACCCACACCTACCCCATCACTTACCACACCTACCCCACCTACTTACGCCACCTACCTCACTTACCAACAATAAACGAAACTTTAAAAACATTAATATTTGGTATAATTTCTATTTTATAAACAAAACAAAATAATTTAAAATGATATTAATTTTATTTCATGATTTAAGTAACATTACTAAATGTAGCTTTAAACTAATAATATTTTGATATTCCACGGCCATTAATTATTGTTACGTACTTTTGTAATGATTCTATAAATAATTAAATTACATATAACATAGTTAATTTACATTATTATAATTCAGAAAAAATTTTCTAAAAATTCTATAAATTTCTATAATTTTAAACATAATTTCTATAAAGTTTTTAATTGCAAACTCATAAATTATAATTTAATATAAATTTTGATTCAAGTTTAAAATAGTAAATTTCAAATAAGTAAAAATTATTATTATTTATTAATAATGCCTACATTAATTACCTAAATTATTATCATTAATGTGGGTGGGGTAGGAAAGTGGGGCAGGTGGGGTAAAGAGAAAGTTTCCCTGTAATAAATTTAAAAAGCTTTATAAATTAACTACTGTAATTAAATTTAATATAATAATTAATAATTAAATAATGGTTATTATGTTTAAATTAGTTAATTGAAATATGTTAAAATGAGTATTTTCCTTTTTTTTTATCGCACATGCAAGTAAATAGTGTGAATAAATGGCTAATAAAATTAACTGGCTCTTTAGGGTTTGATAAATATTCATAAGAATAGTGGTTATATTGCTCGAGTGAATTTGAATCTAGCAAACTTGAACTTTGATCGCAATAGAATATATTGTTATCGGATTTCATTGCGATCAAGTTACACGACAAGGACAAGGTTTCAGATGTGTAATTGAATTTGCTTTTGTAATTAATAACCTCTCTGATTTTATAATGAATAACAACATCATTTGATAAGGTACGTAGAAATACTTTCAAAAATATGTAATCATTTTTCGTCCTAGAGTTATTTTGTAGTTTGCTAATTGTAGACTCCAGATTCTTTTTCGTGATAAAGTTTTTATCAATGATCCAGTTTTTATCAGCCAATACCTCTTTACAGCCAGGACGTTCTTTATACCCGGGATTCTTTTGCATAGCGAGTAGGACATTTAGTAAATTCAATACACATTTTCGTAAATCCGGGTCATTTCTCGTATAAGGATGCAAACTACATAAATAAGAAATGACATTCACAAATAACTTTTGTTAATAATTTAACATTTTAAATATACTTATTGGGCTTCATTTCTTCAAAATCTATATCAAATATTTCACCACCAATTAGTGCCAGGCTATATAAATCAGATTTGGTTCCATATTTTGAGCCTTTCAATATTTCCGGCGCCATATATCGCATGTCCCCGACATCGGCCGTATGCTTTAACGTCGTCCTATAATGTATGCATCTATCGTGAACTGTAGACAACCCGAAGTCACATAACTTAATAAATCTCCCATTCGTTACGTTTTCATCTATCAATATATTCTCTGGTTTGAGGTCGCGATGAATGATCGGTAGATTCAATTCATGCAAATGCTGAACACATTCTAATAATTGTCCAAAAATTTTGCACGATATGTAGTATTCGAATCTATTCATTGGTTTTCCCTTTTCCCGACCGAATACTCGCGATTTCGATGTTAGAAAATTTTTTAGGTTATCCGGGAAATATTCCATTTGTATATAAAATAAATCCCTTTCGTACCATGAATCGATATAAATTGCCACATACTCCGAACGCACCATGCGCAGTTGCTGCACTTCTCTTAACGCATTGGTCTTTTGTGTAGTTTTAAACTCTGCCATATAAATATAACATTTTAAAATTTAATTAACATATTATTATCATATCTATACCAGTAAAGTTGTGTATCTTAATAGCATATACTTTTAGGTTATCCCTTTTTTGTACGCGAAATACTTGTCCAAACGCTCCATTCCCTACAAGCGACCAATTGGTGAATGTGTTCTCCTTTAGGTTTAAGGTATTGTAAGTAATTTGGTATTCAATTGCAAAATAGTTTATAAAGTCGTGGTGAATAGTTGGACTGATCAATTGGTAAGATTTTTGGGGAAATCCTTTAATTGTATAAACCAAATCATTTTTCACCGCTGCAATATGCTTAACAAAATTGAACGAATAAAATGTAGATAGTTCTCGAAATTTGCCCTTAGTTTTAAACAGATTAGATTTCTCTTTTTGGTGGTTCACAGCGTTTGCATTAGTGCCATCTTTGTTCCTGAATCTCTCTGCGCATGTGTAAAGGCTTCCATTTTTTGAAATTAAATAAACTTTTTCATTTAAGCATACAATTTCGTTTATATCATAGTTTCGGGATTAATTTCGGTGATAAAGTTGGCTCAGGTAATATATAAATATTATTGCTACAATACTGAATACTATTATAGCCCCAGCTAAAGACTAAACCGTCATGCGTAATTGCGTACGAACTGTTACCATGGCAGCAAATAGATTTGATTTTATAGTTACCAAACTCCACCAAGGTCGGAGTCAGTTTTATATCCTTATCCACCTTTCCACATCCAATTTGTCCCATAATATTCTCACCCAACCCGTACACCTGTCCTCCATTGGTGAGTAGCAGGCAATGGCTATACCCGCAATATAGTTTTTCGATACATTTATCTGGGAACTTAATTTTCTCCGGCACAAAATATGTAGAGTCCTTGGTACTTACAGTAGGCTTGAACCTGGTGTGACCCCAACAATATACCTTATTTAATATTGTTATCCCAATGAAAAACTCTCGTCCTTGAAAAAATTTCTGCACATTTTTATGATATAGTTGGGGTATTGTTTCCGGTGATAGTACCGGCTGATTGTGACCAAACCCTAGACAACCGTCCGAATTGTGTCCCATTCCATAGACCGTGTCATCCCTCGTAACGAATAGTATGTTCTTCTCATTGCACGAGTCGTCGAAAATATGGCACAAAATTATGATTTGCTTTTGATTTTCGGGTATATTTTGGCAAATTGAAAATTTACTTAAAACTGAAGTCATGCTGAATAAATACGTAACCTAATTAGTTATTCTGGCTAGCGTTAATCTATTTATTAAAATCTTCAAACAAGAACTTAATTACAATATAATTTAATTTAATCAATATATCTGTTTTAATAAATTAATATTTAATTAATTACACAATAAAATAACTTTTCTACAACTTCTGGCTCTTAATATAATACT